TGGAGTTGATGGTATTCCAAGCTATATAGTCAGAGGCACATGCTTTTAAAGAACCTTTACGAATTATCTTCAATATTTCATTAAAATCTAATATTTTTCCGAGCATGTGAAAAAACTCTAAACATATTCTACTTTTAAAAGTGGTTTACAAAACGAAATCATAAACTATAGACCAATATTCTTACTATCAAGTTTTTCGAAGGGTTTCGACAAGACAATTTCATATCCATCGACATAGATTTATGTCCAAATGAAAATACTAAAGGGATTGACCCATTCTCATGTTCAATAAAACAAGAATAGAATCAAAATATTATCATAAATTAGCCGTTTTCCTTCTCTTTCTTTCTTTCTTTCTTTATTTCATTACACGTTTGTCTATTTTTTTAAATTTGGATCTTCATTACTATTTTTATTTAGGTTTATTATTAATATTATATACCTCTTTCAACATCATTAGTATCCTTTAATTGAGTCTATTCCCATTTGGACAAAAAAGGATTTTTTTATATACGGCATTTTCGCATTGGTCAGTAGTTATCCACCCAAGTTCTAAAACCGACAGATGTTCTAGTTTTCTGAAGTTTTGTTGATTATTTTCCATTGTACGATGTTCATTAAATTTTAAAGTGTATAAAATAGCAAATATCAACTACAAATACGTAAACTTTAAACTTGGTTTTTTTGAATAAACACACTTGGCACCTATCCATCGTTCTATTTTCTAAATCATTCAAATTTTGTGTACAATGGTGTGGAGTAAAATGTATGTCAAATCGTATGATTCAGTAAAATAAATAATTTACAAACGAAATTAAAAAGTACTTTTTTCATTATTTTAGACTTAGTTTGTAGCTAAATTTAGACAATTTGATATGATTTGATGAAGTGCAAGACATGCTACGTCAAAAAATACAACAAATTCATTTTATTATTTGTAAATATGCAACCAACTGCGCTCTATACATTGCAATTATGTATTAAATCAGTATTCCATTTATAATGTCTGACAATATGATATAAAGGGTAAATTAATCTTGTGAAAAATGTCGATATCATCCTTGTTGAAAGAGATAATAAAAAAAATGTAGTAACAAAATTTCTAGGGTGACTTGAGACCACATTAAAAAAATATATAGAGGTATATAACCACATTAAAAAAATATATAGAGGTATATAGGGTGTAGCATGACTCAGATACGAACCAAACTTATTTTTTTTAAACCGAACACGAGTTTATTATTTTAGATATAGATTACTTCCATTTTTTTCCGTTTTTCTAATATATGGTTTATCTAGGTTATATACGGTACTCTAAAAGTAATTGACTTTCGTATGAAAATCGTAAGTAAATCAACGTGCTGTAGTCAGTTATACACTGTATAAAAAATGTTCTTCTCACCTGCAAGAGTTTTTTATTATAATGAAGTATACCTTTAGTTACGTTTTTATTCTCTGGCTATTTGTATACAGGGTGACTCAAGACTCTGATCCTTGATTTTCATGTTTTATTTAAATGGGACGCAAAGTCACAAGGTACGGTCAAGAAAATGAATATCGAAATAAAAAGTTTTGAATGCTTGACAGGGTTAAGGGTCACTCATGGTGGTATTCATATAGAGGATGAATATAATTTCTTTTTAGGAGTTAGCTCCCATTGCCTGGTTGAAAATGATTTTATTATAGAAGTGACATATCCTTTTTCTTTAAGAAGGAGTTCAACTAAAATTAATAAATTATTTTGATTTTAATGATGATAAATTATTATTTCCAAAACGGAATCATGTCTACTATTTCCAAATTCAGTGACAGTAACACCATGCAGGAAGAAATTATTATTATTATTATTATTATTATTATTATTGCTGTATGTTTCCCATTTGAGGGAGTCTGGAGCTGGGATATATACCAGAAGCATGGAAAAGGGCCAGAGTCTCCTTTATTCCAAAAGTAAGGAAAAAGGATACCACACATCCTAAATCCTTCCGACCAATCAGCCTCACATCATTTGCATTAAAAACAATGGAGAAGGCTGTTGACAATTATATCAGAACGGAAGTCCTGGAGAGGATGCCACTCCACCACAGCCAATACGCGTACCTAGCAGGAAGATCTACAAAAACTGCCCTGGTACAGTTCACTGACGTATTCCAGGATACACTGTCAAATAAAGAAACGGTCGTGTGTGCCTTTCTAGACATGGAAGGAGCTTCTGACAACAAGCCACACGAATCTATCAAAATAGCACTTGCATACAGAGGAGTAGATAACATCACATCCAGTTGGATGGCTCAGCTGTTATCTACGAGAACTGCAGAGACACAGATAGGGCAGGACACCATTTCCATCTGCACAACCAGAGGATGTCCACAAGAAGGAGTTCTATCCCCATTAATGTGGAGCCTAACCGTAGACGAACTTCTATGCAGATTGACTGACCTCGGCATACCCTGTCAAGGTTATGCCGACGACATAGTCATATTTGCTAGAGGCAAGTTTAGAAATATCCTGTGTAATATAGTCCAACGAGGACTAGAACATACCAAAAGATGGTGCCGTGAAGTGGGACCCCACAAAAGCAACAATATTAGCCTTTTTAAGGAAAAGAAAACTTAATTTCAAAACCGTTAAATTAGACAAGATAGATATAGAATGGAAAAATGAAAACAAATATCTAGACCTAACCCTGAGCAACAAATTTCTCTGGAACACACATGAGAAGGAAGTAGTAAATAAGGCGACAAAAGCCCTAATGGTATGCAGAAACATTGCGGGTAAACAATGGGGATATAACCTAAACATACTGCGATGGATGTATACTGCAATAGTGAGATCAATCATCACTTACGGGGCTATAGCTTTGAGTAACAGAACTAGTTTAGCTACTACGAGAGCTAATATCTGAAAAGTACAAAGACTAGCCTGTGTTTGCATTACTGGTGCAATGAGAACCTGTCCTACGGCAGCAAAGGAGCTGATTTTAAACCTCACCCTACATTTGATGATAGAGACTAATTAAACGAAAGTCTACTTGCTTCAGGACTGAAAATACCTGAGACCTGCCCCAGGATGAGATGTTAAATAAGTAGAGTTTTGTGAAAAACTTCAAAATCACAGAGCTGGGCTGCAAGAAAGAATGGAGCCAATAATCCAGTGGTATATGGATGGTTTTAAAATCATAGAAGAAACTGAAATAGGAGTGTACGGGCCGAGAACCAAGCACTCTAAAAGTTTGGGAAAATACCCAAGCATCTTCCAGGCGGAAATTCACACCATCGAGAAGTGTATCCAGTCTAACATCGAGAGAAACTATCATAGACAAGAGATTATTATCATGTCCGCAAAGCGCTGAGTTCTTACGTAATCAGCTCAAAAATGGTCTGGAGATGCTTAGAACAATTGAATGAGCTAGGCGAGAAAACTAAAATTAATCTCACTTGGGTCCCGAAACATAACCGGGTACAGGGTAACGATATTGCAGATAGTCTTGCAAGGGAAGGGGCTCAAACACCCTTTGTATGGCCTAAGCCGTTCTGCGGTATCAGCAGTAAGATAATATTAGGAGAGATTAAAAAAGAATTAGGCAGTAGAAGAACCGATAATTGGAACAATCTCTTGTGGCTAAGATACTTCTCGGTGAATATAACCAGAAAAGATCGGAAGCACTATATCTAGGAGGATTTCAAATAGAAGAGGAAGATTTATCTTACTTGAAACCACTCCAAATCCTACACTTCCTTAAGAAAATAGGATTGGAAGGGTCATTATAGGCATTGAGACATTTCCTTGGTGCATTAACGACAGAAGGAGGCACAATAGATCTTTTAGGTCGCAGTATATTAACACCCCATTCCAAACATAATATGGTCCCCAATTGGCCCAATGAAATGATTCAACTCGCTAAAGAGTTCGATCATGAGGTATTTTATAGATATAACTATCCAATTTATTCCTAAGATTTTTGAAATAATTCACATATTACCTATATTCACAACATCCCAGCAAAGTAATCACTTTTGAAAATAGAACAGTCAAAACTCTTGACACTCAATCTGATGTTTTCAAAAAATCAATCCAAAATTTTCTTCTTTTAGAATCTGTACGAAAAATGTTTAAATGAAAATTTAATTAGATTGCAAATTATATAATAATACTCTCCCCAATTCACCCCCTTACGAGTGAATTTTAACCCCAGAATCTGAGCTTGCTTACTCTACGCCTATGTCCACAGCGATTGCTGATGTACTTACGATTTTGTTTATTATTGAAAATAATCAAATTTATCGAAATACTATCTTTGTATCACTTATAACTGTATCTATTAAGAAAATTCAGAAAAGTTTATATTATACAGTTTAAATATGTCGCAATTTTCGTTGGTCCCGACTTTTTTATTTATAATAAGCTCCTCCTGACTTTATATAAAATGTTTCTAAAGTACACCATGATCGACAAAGCCAGAGATCCAAACAGACATTTTAAAAGAAAAAGAATTGTACACTTATCACACTTAAATTTTTCTATTACCTACTTTAAAAATATTAGGGGCACTCCAACGACCTATCAAAATGCTGACTAGTGGGAACTGATAGTTAGATATGGCAACCCTGGGGACCTGTTGTCATTGACAGGGTCAATGATACATACGAGTATATAGATGGCTCATAGTATAAAGATTGGTCATTAATCGCAATCCGTTTAGCAAAAATCTGTTTACAAACCAATTTTCAGCCTTTGAATATAGTAAAAAAATAATTACCTATACATTTTTACTTCAAGGCATAAGCGTATGTTTATTTTGAAAAACATCAATCTATATAACTATGTATTTCATTGACCCTGTCAAATCATCAGGCTGACAGGGTTGCCATAAAGTTGCCATATCATACCACTGGTAGCCATTTTGTTTGGAATGCCTAATTGTTAGTGGACCATTTCTCAGTATGAACCTGTTTTATTATTATTGGTTACTTTATTTCTAAAGAATGTTTTTTCTTCAGGGCAGCTGCGTCTGGAGCAATATAACTGGAAGACAAGTTATGTTAAGTGATACATCTTTATTAAATTTGACTGAAATAGAGAGAAAAGTTTTGCAGAAAGTGGCCATAGCGAAGCTGCAAGCGTTGAATTTAGGAGTCAATATCAAAGTGCCAAATGGTAAGTAAAAATTTGCAGTGTAAAAGAATGAAGATTATAGAATAATAAGTATATAGATTATTAATATTATCTACATTGTGAAAGATACAATAATATAAATTGTATAACATCGGATTAACATGCAAATGTCGTATCTAAAATATAAATTTAACAGGGTACTGAAAAGAAAACCGTTTTATTTGTTGCATCGTAACAATTTAAGTGAAAAAACTTCGAGGGCATTAATAAAAACTGAAAAACATGTTTCGATCGGAATTTCTCGTAGAGTTAGGATAATACCGACCATATTATAATACAACAAAAAATAAACGCTATTATTAAAAAAAAACAATCTATTAACAAAAATCACAAGTATAGGGTTTATTAATGTCACAACCAGCACATTCAGCACGTGAAGATTTGGCACAGCTGCTGCAAGTAACCCACCACTCGCCATCTTTCCCAAATGCTTCGCAGATGTTGCATGGTTCCGTGGCAACTTCTTGTTCTTTCATTATTTTCTTTGATTTATTGTTTTCCTTATCTTTCGTTTCATTTTCGACATTTGCTCCTGTCAGATTTCTTTTCACTTGTTTGTTTTTAGCAAGACTTAATTTACTTAGTTTTATTTTTTCCTTTGATTCCAGATCTCCTCTATTTGGGGTGACGGTGACGATTTGTGTTTTTTCTTTGAAGTTTTTTTGAGGCGCAATGATTTGGTATTTGGTGAGTTGTTACCAAATGAAATTTTTAGTCTTACAGTTTTATCTTCTTCGTCTGTGGCATTGCAATCTGTGACCATTTCAAGATTAGACTGACAATATTCTGAAGATTCTGGTGAAATATTAGCCGACACAACGCAGTTTTTTGATCTCACAATTTGAGTTTTATGGTCGCCAGATGTTCCAGGTCTTAGTTAATCTCCATTGCTACAATTTTTTTATTTTTCTTTGAGTTTTTATGTTCCGAATTGTTGTCTTCACCTTCAACTTTACCTCCTTGCTGCTCCTCCTCGTGTGGTGCCAGTTCCTCTGGATTGATATCATTGAGATTATAGGAATAAATACCAGTTGACTCAAACCTTTTTGCAGCTTTCTCTATTGTAGCAGTTCTGTTATAATCCTTTTTAAATAGTTCAGCGACATTAGTCTGTTGATTTCTTTGATAATTATTAGACTTTATAAAGTTGTCGCATTCTTGATTGTAGGCTATTTTAAGAGGGCTGTAGAAACATACGTCAAGAGGCTACAGGCGGTGCGATGTATGGGGTGGTAACGTAAGAACGACAATTCAATTTTGTTTACAGTAATCACATGCTTTCAACCATGGCTTGAATGGTTGTCCATAATTAGTAACACCGGATCGTAAATAGAGCATTTTGAATATGAAGCAAAATGTCGTAATCATTCAAAAAACAGGTCTTCATTTACCTAGCCGTTTTTGAAAACTGTATATTGCGTTAGTGGGCCCGTTTTTTGTTAAATCGTGCTGCATTTTACCCCTGCCAATAATAAACATTAGAGGTATATAATCGCCAGAAGCATTTGCGGCACAAATCACTGTGGTTAGTTTTCCTCTTTCTTCACTTGTTATTGCCCCAACTTGCTTCTGGCCCTTAACAGCTAATATACGACCTGGAGTATAAACATTGGTCACACCTGTTTCATCGACATTGTAAATACTGTTTTCGTACTTGGTGTGGTGTAACACCAAAAAACCGTTTTAAAAGAGCAATGATCTGTTCACACAATTCTTTCTCCTGTTCCGGAGTAAAAACAGGTGTACCTAGAAGCTTTATTGTTCTGACGGAGGTGGCGCTGGTCATACTAGCAAGAGGCGGGAAATTTAAGGTTTAAATTAGGTGGTCGGAATTACCCGCGTGGACGGAATTTTCCGAGTGTCCCCTATAGTGCAAAAGAAACAGTGGAAAATCCATTTTTTTGCAGTAAAAGATTTTCGATATTAGTCAACATTTATGCCGATGCACTACTTTTTTTAATTAGAAACAAATCTGTACAGGGTGAATCAAGACTATATTTTATGTCATCATTTTAAAGTGCCTTAATTAAAGTGTTATTTGAGTTGAGTATTTCCTATACCTAAAGTTAATAACTTTGAGAGGTTTTTAAATTTAAATGAGAAAAAAGATAATTCACAAAATAGTTTTATTTTCAAATATCCAAAATCTTATACAGCAGAAAAATTGGTTTTCAATTACAGGTCATTGAAATTAATACGATTTTCATATAAAACTGGTTGTAGCGTATGAAATACCCTGTATAATTTTATACTATTTAGTATTGTTAAGGGAAAAGCGAGGGCAATTCAGATATCAAATAAAAAATGTAACTTTCTTGGAGAACCCTGTATAATTGAAATTATTTTAAAATTTTTATCTTTTCTTGTATATATCTTGGTATGAAAACAGATTTGAAAATCTAAAATAGTTTTGGCTCCAAATGGCTCATGTGTATGAAAAATTTTTTTAAGTTATTTTAAAAAAGTTGTTTCTTTTAAGTAGTTGTATAAATAGTTGAAAAAACCTACAAATCACCCTGTATAAGAGAAGTGCGCGGTCCTTTAATGATTAATTGTTAATTTATTTATCGATTGACCGACCGAACGAAAAATAACCAAGTGGCGCTTAAAATAACAATTGAAATAAAAATAGTCGGAATCAAATAAACACTGTTATTTTTAATCGGTTGTAAATTGTAGCACGTTCCGATAGTTTAGTCTTGAAGTGTAAAAACCTCTAAAATCTAAATAAAATTGGATACACTAATGCCTATACTTATATTGTCGGATTAAATTTCGAAAGCATGAGCGTAGGTATAGAAAAGTAATGGAGGTTTAATGCTACATATCAAAATTTAAATTAGGACAATAATTAGGCCGATGCAGATACGAGGGGAGGTAATAGGGTAATTACCCTCACCGAGCTGCTCGAAAAATTTTTGGAATTTATTAAATTGTAACCTCTGGCAAGGACGGTTAGGCGGCTTCAGTGGGGAAGGCTATGTGGGCCATGACCCCTCCCCCTTCCCAAGATTAAAGTTCTTACGATCTATAAGCTTTTTATTGAAAAAAATATGCTAAAAAGGAAATTCGTCCTGGAACCGCCCTTGACTTCGAATTTGTACAAAAAAGCAATAAACTAGATGTCGGAGATGAATAAATTCATTTATCACCCTCCCCTTGAAACAAATTGTGCATTTTTAAGTTTGTCGAATAATACTTATATTCTTGTATTTTGGTTAATCCACATTAGACTTGAATCTGCTTGATTTAGTAAATTTATTAAAAATAACATTGTCACAAACTTTTTTTTTTTTTTCAGAAGTAGGTAGTGTGGCAGTGAAACCCAAGAGAAGGCCGTACTTGCTCAAAAGAAAAGCTTTAACAACTGGCATTTTTGATGCAAACCGAAAAGAGGATGAAAAAAATAAAGGTAATAAAAATAAATTCTATAATCATCAATTATTTGTTCGAATTGGTTCAATTGTGGTTATAGACAGAATGAAACTATCAACTGTGGAACTAAATACTATCTTTTACTATTTCTCATTTTGATACTATCGCACAATAATAAATCAAATACTTGTTATCCTTTCCGATCACCTGAATTTCATAGTAAAAGATAAAGATTAGGGGTGAGATTACAGAACGTCTGCAACTTTGCAGATCTACAAATATGGCGGTAACTTTGAAAATCTGCAAATATGACTGACTTACACATGCAAGTATCAAGTTTTCGTATTCCAAACCACAATAAATATTGCGAATTTGCAGATATTTTTTGGAATACTTGCATTTGTAAGTCCGCCATATTTTCAGATCTGCAAAGTTGCAGACGTTCTGTAATCTAACCCTAAGCTAATCTTATCCTTTAACTACCTGGCAACCACGGTTGCAGAAAATCGATTTATTAAAATTGCTTGATAATTTAGTATTAGAGGTCTGTTCCAACAACGATCAGGAACCAGTTACTGACACCAGGATTCTGCGCAGTACATTATTGGAATGACCAAATAAGTAGATAGACTAAGCTACTACGGAGACACATAGGGAATTCAATGTGTAAGAATGAAAGGTACATATTCAATAGATAAGTGTGAGACAGAGTAAGGGAGAGTGAGGGAAATAGGGGGAATGGGGGGAATTAAATCTCTATTAACGATCAACGGAAAAATCATGAGATTGCCAAAAGGACCTAAGCGTGTTTCTCGGCTACTATTGGTATGATTCAAACGGGAAAAACGGCAGAACGCGGTATAAATGAACGTTGAAGAGAAAAATCATGCGGTAATGATATGTTATTGAATATGGTGTAGTTTATAAAAATCTTCTAAATCGAAATTTTTAATCTTTTTCTTCAAAGAATTAGTTATTTTTCAAAAAAATTTAATTAATAACTTTTTTAGTAATAGTACAAGATCCTGTATCGATTAGCAGTTTGAGTTGGGTTCGCGTATTTCTATATAAAGCAATGCATTGTTTGAAATATAATGCAATTCTACTATCTTTTTGTTTTCAATAAAGCAGGTATCTGAAAATTTTGTTCAAAGTCACCTTTTTTAATTGATTCATTTTCAAATGTAATTTTATAAGGATTTTCAAAATTACTATGATTATAATCATGGTTGTTATTTAAATTGGTATTTCTGCAAAAATTAGAATGTAATTCTTCAAAAGTAAAATTTGGTCTTGAATTATAATTTTGGAAATTTCTGTTGTCATAAAATTGTCTCTTTAATTGAAAAGAAGGGTTTCTTGATGTCATTGACATCGGTTCTGGTTTAGACAATTGCCTTTCTGAAATTTGATTTGGTTTAAAAACATTTTTTGGTCTTAATGGTCCAAAACTTGTTGATTAGTAAAATATTTTTTATTTAGTTGTGGCATTAGTTGTACATTTATAGGTTGACAAGGAAAATTATCAAAATTAGCTTTATATTGATTATTTACTGGATTTTAATAAAATTTCTGTGATAATAATTTTAATTTCTGTAATGGGAATTTTCAAAATTATTTCTGGGATAATTATTTGAAAAATAACTTGGTCTTTGATTATTTTGATAAAAATTTGGTTTGTAAAAATCATAATTCGAATTCATATTATTAACATTTCGATTCATATAGGAATTATTATTATTTCTTTGAACATTTTGAAAATGTCCAGTGCTTTGTTTATTATAAAAATTTGAATTATGTTTTGACATGTTTCTTTCATATAAATTATTATTATTATACAAGGTTTCAAAATTTTCAAATTCTGAAACATAAGCAACAGCTTCTTTTAGCGACTCTGGCTTTTTCAGATGCATATTAATTTTCAGTGTTCCCGTACATCCTGCAAAGAATGTATTTAGAGCCGTTTTAGCATAAAAATTACTTTGAATTTGTTTTTCCATTGGGGTTAAATTTGGATCATTACTTATTCGCTGAATAACACTACTTCCTTCCAACTGTAATCTACTCGCAAAATTTATTAAATGTTTACCTTTTAAAGGTTTACTATGCGTCAATTCTTGCACTAAGCAATCTAAATCTCTTTGATCGGAGAAATATTGTAACAAAGCACTTCTTAAACATATCCAAGTAATAATTTCAATTCTGTTACCAACCATTATCTCAGCTTTTTTTACTAATTTTGCTTGAATATATTATATTTATATGTGCATTCAATTCTGGGTCATTATTTATGTTCTATAAGTATCAATTAAACTTTCACATCTAATTATAAATTTATTTAGTGAATTAGTATCACCATCAAAAGTTTTTATATTATCTATTTTGGACTTAAAAAGGTCCCAATTCACTTGTCTTCGTTCAACTACTAAAGGTGTCATGATTAAATTACTTCCTACACTATCTGATTTATTATCTTTTATTGATATATTTGCAAATTGCTTAAACAAAGTATCAATTTCTGATTCACTCATAAAATATAATCAAAATAAAATATAAAATAGTTTTTAAATTATATAAATAGTACAATTTTTTTTAATACCTCTAAATTAAAGAAAAGGGAAATTAAAGGATATTTGTAACTTACTATTTTCTTCAATTGCTTTCTAATTGTCGTTTCGGATGTCCCACCATGGGATAATGTCCAATAATTGATGATTCTGTCCAATCGACGATTCTTCTACGTGGAGGTTAGACTGTCGCCACAAAAAGGATGACGTCCACCAATTCTTCTTTAGGAACCACACTTAAGGAATTAAAATTCCAAAGTCACGAAAAGTTAATATTTGGCACGGCAACAGTGAACTTGATTAAACTTTTTCAGGACTCGCGTGTATCCTACTGAGTGCGCCTGTTATAAATTCCAAAACGGAACTTTTATTTTTAAAATTTTTATTAAGTACAAATACACTTAAATGGTTATCTAAGATAACTCTGGACTGAAGCATATACTAAAGCTACCTCAAATAACAACAATAATAAGGTTTTACTCCTATTTATAAAGTAAAAAATGATTATTATGCAAAGATAATCTATTTATATCATAAAAGAGTCTATTATGTTTACAATATATAACTCGATTGTATTTTTATTCAGTATTGTTGAGTGAGCTAAAAGATCGCTTCTATAGAGCAAAAAAGCTACTATCAGAAACAGTAAAAAAATCATAATAGTAGAAGGTATGCTCAACTTAAATTTCTAATGATTATACCATAGATACGGCCTAAGACGATCTTCATCTTCTGTTACTTTATGTTACTCTAAAATTAAATTTTTTAAACTGTAGTTGCAAACTACTAGAGAAATATTACAAATTTCTATAACGTCAGCCACTAACAGTTATAACATTTTGACATTAGAGTCCTTGTCGTTATACATATTTCTAACGTCATTTTAAAAATTTTAAATTATAGCTTATCTTTTTTATTGTTTATAAAAGTACATACATAATATGAAAGAGGCATTACAAATTACCATTTTAGAAAGTTTAGATGATATTGAATATTTAATATTAAAAAACTTTGAACTGATACGAATGTCGGCGAGCGCACCCGAAAACTATAAAGTCGCCAATAACTGTGGTCCTTAAACATTTACAATTAAAGACAAACTGTTAAAATACCTGTATTTATTATAGTTTGCAGCCCTGTCTGAATTAGTTACTTTTGTTTTATAATGTATTATCATCTGTCAATGACAATGTCAATGTAAGTACTTCCGGTAAATTAACCAACGAATGTGCGCACCTAACCTGAGTTGCTATTTTAATTTTAGTATTGTTTGTTCAAATAGTTATTCGTTAATAAAACCCTTTTACAAAACTATTTTCACATTATTTTCTCTAACAAAAATATGGGAAAACAGAAAGATTCAATTTTTTTCTTTAAATATACAGTCATTCAAGAATATTAAACACAAAGTCCACACAAAAAACTTTGTAAATCGGAAAGACCTTCTAAAAATGTATAATATAATAACTTCCGCTTTATCAACTACAATTATTTTATTTTGCAAAGCTACAATAACACAAATTATAACATAAATATTTCATTTAGGAAAAATTAAAGATATATATATTGTTCATTAGTCGCTCATACATGCTTTTCCGTAATTGCAAGGCTTCATAAAATCTGTTAGACATGCACGGGAAATCCCTATTTTCTGGAAAAACCGAAACAGTATGTTACTAACGAACTTTTGAAATAGCACGTCCACGATGTCTTTATATTACCCCCATATCAGTGCCAATATGTATAATCCCGCTGAATTTGCTTTGTTGAAAATTTTACAATATACTCATTAGTTCTCTCTATTCTGATAGAGACAGTGTAGCCAAATTAGGGTCCGCTGCATTTTCAAATGAACAGCAGACACACTTTTTTGTGAACATTGACAAATTTATTTCTGATGACTGAACGAAACAGATGGGGCAGATTTCAGTTAATAATATTCCAAGTGTTGTTTATAATCTTTGGAGAATCTGATTTGGATATATTTATCCGAAATAATGGTTTCGGCGAAAATGATGATTAATTTTTACGATATCAATCTGTGTTAAATTAGGTTTTTTATCTAATTAGTAAAAAAAATGTAAGGATACTGACTCACTTTGGTAACATAACCTCAAACTATGTCCTATTGAATTCTCGTGTTCGACCGTTGGGAAGACGTCGAAAGAGCCTCTAGAAACTTAAATATGTAAAAAAGGAATTGAACGAGTGACGTAGGACCAGGAAAGATGTTGAAGAATATTCTAGAGACTATAAGACGATATGAAGAGGAACTGAAAGAGGGACACAAGACCAGGGCACATGTCTGGAGAATCGAAAACGAAGAATAAAAGCTGAAGAAGTGATGTAGAACTACAAGTTCTTTAAAGATTAAGAACTGGCCGAAGAGGAGCGGAGCAGGTCAACTCGGCGATGTAAAGTCGGCGACGGTCAACTCGGCGATGCCGAGTCGGCGATGGTCATCTCGGCG